TGGTGCCCAGAGGACGGGCCCTGGACCCGTGTCCAGGGAAACTGTGGGCTTCTCTGGGCGGGGCAGACCCCCTGCCCCACCTCTGCTTGGGGTGTTCAGAGGCACGCCACCTGGCTGTGGGGCCAGGCTGCTCTGGAGATAGTGAGCCAAAGGCCACCCCATGGAGCTGCTGCTCTGGGGGGAGCTTTAAACCAACTGAGGGTTAAGAACGGCCAGGGTCGAACCCCAGCTGGTCTCTTCAGCAGTGGGGGACCCTCTTTGGCTCACAGGTGACTGGCAATGACCCCCCTTGCCCGCCTCCCTCTGCCGAACCGCTGCCCCTCCAAAGAGGTGGCACTGGGCCTGAGGGAGCGGCTGAAGGGTGCCTTTGGCAATCCGGGGCTTGGGGGGCCCTCGGCGGTCCTCAGACGCCCCAGTTGCCATTGCTCCGCTCCCTGTTGCGTGGCCGCGTGGCCTCCTGCCCTCTTTCAGTTTATTTATTTATTTATTTCAGGTTTATATGTGCCGCCTATCTCATTGTACAAGTGACTCTAGGCAGCGTCACAAGTAAAAGTAATGAAATCTTAGAAATAAATACAGGTTAAAAACTGCAAAAGATTAAAATTAAACTAAAACGTTAAAACTACAGTGCGACTAAAAGGGTGGAGAGAGCATCCTCGGGCTACCAACGGAGAGGAGGAGGCTACCTCCTCTCTCCCGGCCAGCTGGCAGTGACCAGCCCCAGAGGGAGCCGGCAAGTGAGCAGCGGCAGCCCCCGGGGGTGCCTCCCATTGCGGGCTTCTAGGGAGATGCCACGGGGGAAGGGGGACCAGAGGCTAGCCCCGCTCTTGGCTTCAGCGCCCAGGGCAGCCTCCTCCTCAGCCCCCACCAGTGGAGAGGGTCACCCTGGGTTGGCCCTGCCCCCAGGTGAGGTTGACTGGGTCCCCCTCGACCGGGGCCCCCCGCCAGTTGCTCCCAGAACAGCCTGAGCTGCAACACTGGGGGAGGGGGTGAGTTCAGCCCTGGGATGCCCCCTCTGGCTCTGAACTTTCCCCAGCCTGGTGCTCCGCGCGAAGGGGGACCGCGGCCCCTCGGCTTGTGGGGAGCCCTGCCCCTGTCCAGGCAGCAGGTCTGCTCCCCGGCCATCCGGGCCATGTGTGCGTGGCAGACACCGGAGGCCCCCAGCTCTGGGCCCCTTCTCCGCAGGCAGGCCCCATCCCCCTTCCCTGCCTCGGCTGCCCTTCCGCCTTTTGCCTCCTC